CCTATAGTCGGTGCTTCATCGTACCCCCAGCTCCCTAATTCGGCTGTCCCCTAGTTGCCCCCCCCCCTGCCCACCCCTCCGCTGTCCCGCTGCCCCACCTGCAGGATGCCGCAGTAGCCGTTAGAGACTTCTTGCTCGCTGTGGATGTTCACTGGCAGCCCCGAAACCAGGGCCGCCAGGGCGTCGCGAGTGGGCGGGTACTTGGGCTGCCGAGGGTGGGCGCCGCAGGGGGGCTATTACTTAGGGGGTTTACTTGCAAAAGTCACAAGAGGGGAATGAGAACACGCTTAGGAATGGGATACCTAGGAAAGTGACATCAAGATACCGGGAGGTGGGGGTTGGGGAACGCGGGTGCGGAAAGGGTTCCAAGAGATGGACAAGGACCTGATCCAGGAAAGGAGTTGCAGGCGGACCTTGGATGGAAAAGGACGTGCAGAAGGCGGTCTCTACACTGACTGTTCAAACCGACTGTGTGATCGCCAGTCCGTCTGCCAGTCTCTGTCTGTCCACCCGCCAAGAGTTTTCGTCCGGAAAATCTCCTCCCCCTGCCTCTCCTTTTCCCCCGGCTCCCCCCCCTTACACACACACACACACCTGCCAACGGCGGTTCTCCGCTTCAGAGTTGATAATGATACAGCCTCCTGGCTGGGTGGTCAGGCAGGCCTTAACGAGCGCATCCCTGGGAGGTGTGCGGATAGGGCAGGAGGCAGCAATGCGCCAGCAGCAGCATCCGCAAAAGCAGCACCCGCAAAAGCCGGATGGCGCGGCGATAACTCCACAGTGGAACTGAACAGAGCTGGACAGTTCCCCCCGCCAATCCTCCTCAACATCCCAAGGCCAGCGATGGCCATTTAACCGAACCATTGAGAAAACCCCTCAGTACATGAAGAGGCGGCCCTCTCCACAACCCATCCAAACACCCCACACACCCCCACCTGACCATCACATCATCCCAACCTGCTCGTACCTGGGTGCCAGTGCCGTTCCAAATGGCTCATCCGTGAAAACCACCACCTCGGCGGGGCCCATGTAAGCGGGTAGCTCCGTAAAGTCCCCCCGCCACACACGAACACCTGCAGCAACAATCCCGTCGCCGC